AGCACAAGAAAGAATTAGATAATTTCAAGTAGAGATTGGAAAAAATACACAAAATACAGCTAAAAAAATAAAAATAGATCTGGACAGTGTTAGATGTCACTTACGCTAACGGTCGGTAGAGTTTATGGAATTTTAAAGAAACAAAAAACAACAGTATTTCCTGTTATTACTGTTAAGATCTGAGCTGCTTTTGTAATTGATGCCAAAGTCTTAAGAACACAACAATAAATCAGCAATCAAAGGAAAATTATTACCTTCTGAAATTACACGCTGTGTCCTCAGTGGAGACCGGTGGATGAGACGGTGCAGGTCTGGACAAACACCGCTGTTCTGCTGCTTATACTCAAACACACAGTAGTTTTTTAACTTTTTTAACTTCTTTTTTTCGTGGTTAATGTCGTTCTGTCGTGACTGCGTTTTCTTTCCCACCGTCATTTAAATGTTGAGTTCTTCAGAGCTGTAAATTAGTAAATGAGGCCAAATCCTGAAGTTTTGTGATGCAAAAATATGAAAAGGTTGGCTTATCCTGGTGGTTTCCTCTGAGAAACGTCACCGACTGCACTGACCTCACGGTGGATCCCCCAGAGTCCACATTTGAATCACAAATGTCTTTCATTTCGCCATCCTTCACAGGTTTGGGTCAGTTGAGGAATGTTAGGAGCCACTAAAGCCTGCTGACAATGACTTTCACCCCCCAGGGACACCCCACCCCCCCTCGCCCCCCACTGACCTCTTCATTTTTACCCAGGCGTTGCGCCAATGCTCCTGGTCTGAGGATGTGATTGGTTCAACATAAACTCCGTGTTTCCAAATCATCTTGACATCCGTTGATGTTCATCTGTTCATCAGAACAGGAGCAGGAATCATTTGTTAAAACAATCAAAGACCCCTTCATTTTTACCCTGCTCTGAGGATGTGATTGGTTCAACATAAACTCCGTGTTTCCAAATCATCTTGACATCCGTTGATGTTCATCAGAACAGGAGCGATATTATTGTCAAAAATGTCCAACGTCCGTCCTTAACATGGACTCAGTCTTTCTTTAGAGCTGAGGACAGACTAGACATATGTGTTGGTCAGATCTTACCCACAATTCCCAGTTTGGTGAAGTCTCCCTCTGTCAGTCAAGTTGAACAGAACCAGGTGATGAATGGACCACATTGTCTTCAACTGTGTCCTGATCAGCTGTTTTTACTGTGACGTTGTTGTGCTGCCGCTCCTCCAGGAGGCCACCGAGTCGGCTTCATTGTCCGTTTGGCTACATTTTATTTCTATAATTTCCGATTCTACCTGGTAAAAAAACAAACAAACACACAAACTGCTGATTAGTTCATGTCGCCATCAAGGTATCGAGACAACAGTGGAGACAACGCAGGTTTTCAAACTGCCTTTACAGCTCCACCTGCAGGGGAGGCGAGCAACGAGCAACAATGACAAGTAGACGTAGCGTACACAAAGTCAGTGATTCACACTGTAGAATATGAAGAGCAGTGGGGGCCGGCAGAGAGAATAGCATTCATGTGTTTACAGGACACTGAGTTCATGAGGAGGTGCATCAGGAACAATGGTTGACTAAAGTTGTAAATTATATTTCCCAGCTGCACGGTACTGATTTGTTGTAATGTAGTCTCCAGTATTATGGAAAAGCCTTTGGCACTGCTTATGAATCACAGACTTCTCATGTCCTTGATCCTCTTGTGCTGTCGACCACTGTTTGGTTATGAAAGTACTGGGTCTTGTGAGAACAAGAGAACCGAGCCAGGAAGGAGCAAGTTGTTTCTGAATGAGCCCGTCTGTCTCATTGACACCGATGTCAAAAACTTTCTAGGATCAGGTCCAAGTTGGGACAAGTGGTCACTTTGAATCCGAGGAGGCGGCACCGATCCAGGCTTTGATGTTCTGGCTCCTGAGGCTCGGAGCTGGAGGCTGGGAGGGTTATCCGTGGTGTGGCATCTCTGTGGACTCGCACCGAGTTGTCCGCCTGTTTTCACAGCATACTTTCTGGTTGACGGGGTATGGTTGTAGTTTACTAATGATCTCACGATGTTCCTTTGTACGTCACAGATTTGAGCTCTTCGTCCCATTGTGTCAATTTACACGTTGAGCTCGTTGTGATGTCTGACATGAAAAAGACAAACTTCACGCAGATCGGATTTATTTTAGCACTTTAGTGACAGAGTTGTTTTTGACCAAATAATTTTGATGAAAGTTTCATTGATTTCATTGATTTTCCTCTAATATGGAACAGTGGAAGGATTTAAAAAACAAATGACTTTTTAACTGGTCCTTTGTAGTTTTCCTTTTTGTACTGACACCACATACATTTTACATTTGTTGTTGCAATATTTTTAACTGATTTAGCAGTTTATTCTTTATTCTTGACTGTGAGTTAGACGTTAGCTAATTCATTTACTTTTATGCATCTGTTGCCTAACTTTTAGTTGTCTTTAGGGCAACTTTTATTTAAATTTTTTATAAATACATACATATATTATATAACATTCATTTATGTATAATAGTTTATATTTATCATATATATTTTTATATTCAAACTTGGGTTTGGCTAACTTATATAATCAGTATCTCTCACTTTTTCAGCCGACTCTTCCAGCATAATCAGTATCTCTCACTTTTTCAGCCAACTCTTCCAGCTGTCTAGTAGCTAATATTTGTTTTTTTGTTTTTTTTTTTTTGCTCTTGTCTAATATTATCACTTCTCTGTTTTTTGTTTTTTTCTGCATTGATAACTGTTAGCTATTTCTCGGTTACTCTGTGCCATAATATTAACCTCTTTGTTGCCTTGCTAGTTGTTTTCTTTCGTTTATTTTTTTATTCTTCTGAGGGAAAAAAGTTTCCATCTTTGATCTGTTTTTTGAACGTTGTGATAAATTGTGGGGTTTTTTTTTTTTGTTTGTTTTTTTCAATTAAAAATGACAGCCAGCTCATGATCCAACTGAACAAATTCCCCTGAACACCTCACTGTTTCATAACCAGATTGGTCATTTATTGGTGTCAGTGATTATAGTTCGGTGGGTTTTTTTTTTTTGACTTTATAGAAAAGTTTTTGTTTTTGTTGTTGTTGTCCAGCACCTGCTGTTACAGATGTTGATAGTTTTTACCCGTGAACGGCCGTAGTGAGAACGTCACACGTGGCCACACAGAAAACAACAGAGAGGATTCATAAATAGATTTTTTAAAACCCTACATTTTCATATATGACTAAGAGTATAAATTATTCTACACAGTCGTGTGCATTACCGCAGCAAAACACCAGTTTGCGCCATCTGTACATCCATAAGTCTTCCCTCTTTGATCCCTCAGTTTTCCTTCAGGGAAGCTCCCTTGAAATCTGCCATTTCTGACTGATACGGAGGGGGGTGTCGATCTAAAACAGTCCGGGACCATCTGCGTTACAGGCCAGATCTGTCATTAGCTGCATTTTATTGTTTCCCTTTATGGTGTTGCCTATACCGCCTGCCTTACGCCTCGCCTCCCCGTGCAGCCTGCCGTCTCCTCGATGACTCACACGAGCGCTCGTCCTCGGTGACAGTGATAGAAATGATGCTTCCTCTATAAAGTTGACTCATTTTCGAGTGAGAACATGTCAGCGCCACCAGAAAGATCACTTTGAGTCATAAAGATGCACGGTGATGTGGGGGTTTGATGAAATGAAATCAGCAGTAGTTAAAGTTCAGCTCCATCCTCTCACTATCATCATCTTCATCATCATCATCATCTTCATCTTCATCATCATCATCATCATCATCACTGAGTTCACGACAGCGTGTTTGCTTTTCACTGTAATAAGATGAGAATAAAAATGTTTGGGTTAAACGGCAGTGAGTTATGTGAGAAAGATTTGTCGAACACATAATCTGAAGATCTCAGGATGAATCACGCCACAGCCTCGGGTGGTTAAAGTGGGGTTTCCTGCAAATGCTTGCCTGCAACACTGGCGAGCTCACGCTCTGTTTTTACTACAACAGCTGTCGGAGCTAAAACACTACAGTCACTACAGGTTCTGTGCCTTCTTCAGGCGCCCAGAAAAAATTGGTCAAAAAGTTCTAAAAAAAGAAAAAAAAAGACATCTTTATTTTGGGCTTCTACACTTCTACGGTTTCCGTCAGAGAATTCCTTCTTTGGTGGATTTCATTTTAAATCGGTTTCAGTTTCGTTCTTGTAGTTTTGGGAAGATTTATATTTCCACAACTGTTCGTCAAAAATGTGATGAACTTATTTTTGAGCAGTTGAAACATGACTTATTAAATCAAATATAACACAGTGATAAAACATGTCAAAGGTATGAAGTCATAACATCTGTCTTGGAACTTTTTGACTTTAATCTGATCTTTGGTCATGGTTTCCACAGACTTTATTTTTAGGTAGACGTTTCTTTCACACCATATGTTGATATGCTAACCTCTTGCTAGCTACTTGCTAATTGAGAAGCCTCAGATCATTACTGTCCTCCTCTGTCAAGACTTCATGTCCAAACAACAGATCTTCATCGCACTTTTAGCAGGAACATCAACTATTCCCGAACCTTTTGGGTTTGGGCCTTTAGCCGCGGGAGCTTAGATGTGCGCTAACCAGATTGTGTTGGAACCAATGCTAGTCTGCTACACATGAGTTCTGAGTCAGGGCCGAGGGTTTGGGGCGGGGGGGGGCTGTCCTCGGCGACCCCACACCAGCAGACAGACACCATGTTCTGCAGCCAGACAAACGCTGCCCGTCCTGTCTGTCAGCTTGCTAGCAAGAGCAGTGATGTAGATAATATTCGTCAGCTTGACTGTGGCACTGCCAACGGCGCGGTGGGCCGGGCCCGACGGGCCGGCCTCGGAGGGAGAGGATCTCTCGCTGCAGGCATCTGGACTCCACAGGATATACTGTGCTGGAAATAAAACTTTACAGAACACATGTTGGGAAATGATCCTCTATTGTGACAATTTCTTGACACTGCCCTTAAGTCTCAATCTGCCATCTGTCTTCTTTTATCACAGACCTCCATCCAGATGTGAAGTGAAGCTGCACCATTAATGAAAACAAGGGGAATGCAGTGATGGAAAAAAGGCAGCACCTAAAAAAAGCCCGACGCCATTTGGTGGCCCTTCATGACACCTCCTGTGTGTGTCTGTGTCTCTGTGTGTGTGTGTGGGGGGGGGGTCACACTGCCACACACTGGCACACCTGAGATGACACGATGGACATCATTAAATGGACCATTAAGAACTGAAGACATCTCTACAGTAAGTCACTTTTTATACATTTTATTTATTTCCTATACCAGAAGGCAGGTGTATCCAAACTCTGACTCGAGGGCCAAATGTGGCCCTCGAATGACTCTGACTTGGCCTCTTGGCAAAGTCCTTGGTTTAACTCCCCTGAAACCTGTTTGAAAAATGTTTAATTCCAAGAGATGTGAGTTGTTGTTGTTTTTGTTTTTTTTGCCAGTTTTCCTGCTAACATTTAGCCCAACTTTCAGCTGTGATTGTTAATCTTTACGCTCAGATAATTAGCTTTTATCTGCTATGTCTGTGCTAACTCTTTATTTCTTTGCTGACCCTGGGGTATTATTTTTACAAGTCGCCAATCAACCCCCCCTCTCTTGCCCCAACAACTCCTCCGCCCTCCTCCTCCTCACCCAC